TCCACGAGGAACTGGCCAGCCAGCTCCAGCTCCTGACCCTCTTTCTCGCTTCTTGTTTCTCGCTGCCCACGCCAAGAGTCTCGCAGGCCGCTCTCATCCCCGGGGTGGTGGCCCCCCTTGGCACTGCCCGGGATGGTCAGAACATGTGGACCGCCCGGGAACACGGACTCGAGCTTGTTGGCGGGGAAGGCCTCCGCGCGGGGACGACCGGGCCAGGTGACGAACACCTGGTCGTTTGGGGACTGCAGGTCCCAGGCCGCCTCCATCGTTCCCGTCTGGGTGCTGGGCGCCTCCGTGGCCACGCCGCGCCACCTCACGCGGTCGCCCGCCTGGGGGGCCCGAGCGGCGCACGCACCACCGACCAGAAGCCCTGCCTTGAGAGGTCTGGGGGCACACTCTGCGTCGTTCTCTGAGGGGGTGCCCCAAAGCTCTTGTGGGTCTCCGGGGCCATCGCGGGATAAGAGAACTGCGCGGGGGCACCTGCCGGCAGGCGGGCTCCTTATCCGATGCTCCTGCCATCGTCTGGTGCGTCCGGCACGGAAGCGAATCACGGGGTGGGGACGGGGGGGCGCCTGGGGAAGCGCAGAGGGGCGAGAGGCGGCGCGGGGAGGACAGGAGGGGTACAATTGGACCTAGGCCTGGGCCAGAAGAGAACATCCTTCAGGTACATGGTGCCTTCCGCCGGCCCAAACACACAGAGAACATCAAAGGGCACCCTCCCCAGGATGCGCAAGAACATCCGACAAGCATGAAGAATACTAGGCCCGAGCCGACCCCGATCGTATACCCGGTCCGACTGCAACTGTGCCCCCCAAACCCCACCCCTCCTGCACCCCCTTCACCACCCCGGCCACTCCCAACACACCCGCCACATACAGTCATCGGCCTGACCTAAGGAACGATGAATAAGTGACGAAGATCCTTTTCTTCCAGAGAATAACGCACAAGAACCGATAGCAAATACATAACGCATAGGGAACGATAAATCATGCATGCGAACCTAAGAAACGACCGAACCCCTTTTTAAAACAAGTGTTCCTTATTCAAGCCGCTCACTGTACAGCTCCCTCTCGAGACTGCGCAGCCCACGTGATGAGAGTTTAGAGGCGGCGCCGTTCAGTTACCGTGGGGGGCGTGGCTGGGATGGAAGAGCAATGTGGTCCGGCACGCACGCGCACGTACAGGCGAAACAATGTCATCAGGAACACTGGATAAGGAACGATACCCCTCTTTTCCAAAGTTGAATTACACCAGAGAAGAACCCAATCAGTGGATGGTTTGGAATCGGATCGATAAGGAAATCGATAAGGAGATCGCTGGGAACCCGGGAACCCGGGAACCCGGAACCCCAAATCGGCCCGGAACCAATAACCAGGAACCCGGGAACCCGGAACCGGGAACCCGGGACCCAGGGGCCACCCAACTCGGCGGGACTCTTTTGCAAAATCTCTCAACTTCCGCCAGGACCCCTTCAGTGCAGCACTGCTTGGGGAACTTCGATTTTTCTGAGAAAACCTCAGGACAACCTGAGACAAACTGTAGAACACTAAAAAAGAACACTGAGCCCCTCCCCAACGCAAAGGGTACCTTCTTGAGCGGCTCGACTGCAGGGTGGTGTGTTACGCTTGCGTTTGCGCATGCCTCGCACGTCACTCGGACAGCAGTCGTGCGTGCGCCTGACCCGTGGTCACCACGGAGGTCACAATCGTCGCGCCTAAAGATCTGAGCCCGAAGCGCCATTCCATTCCCGGAGTGAGGTGGGGGCATCGGGGTGGCTGGGGCCATCGGCTCCTGGTGTCTGCTCCCTGGGAGTAGTACACCTGGCCCCCGAAGCTGTCCGACGTGGGCCTGCTTTGAACCAGATTCGGAGCACAGATGGGGCCAGGTTTGGACCAGGTTCGCCCCTTCTCAGGGGCGACAAACAGAACGAGGAGGGGGAGGAGAAGACACAGAGAGGGCGAGGAGGCGCGCGAAGAAGGACCGAATGCGGGCCGAACGCTGAAAGAAGCTGGGTCCCACGCCGCCGCCCGAGGCTCCCAGGAACAGACATCGAATGGGGCTTCCTTGCGTGCATAGAGACCTCCTCCCTCCTCCCTCTGTGCGTTTAACACGCGCAGCCGTTGCCAATACAGCACGCCGCTCTAGTGAGCAATTTGGCTGCTCACTGTCTCACCCTGCTCGCGCGCCGTCTGGACGCAAGGCTCCTGAACTGAACTGAACATATGGGATACGAGTAGATGGGGTCGGAGGATCGCGCCGCATCGCGGATGCATCAGCGATGCATCGGCGATGCATCGGCGACTCTGGCGGTGCATGGGCGACTCCAGCGTGGAGCCAATCGAGTTCCGCATCGAGCCGCGTCGGCTATGCATCGGCGATGCGGCGCGATCCTCCAACCCCACCTACTCCGACCCCATCTGGGAGACCAAATTAGATCGGGTAACAAACTCTATACACGGACACTGCTTCCGGCCCTGCACCGACACTTGCACAGCAAAGCGAGTCCTGATGTATACGGGATCCTGATGTATACATGTTCTGTGGTCTCCCTGGCAAACGGGAAACGAACAAATTACACCACACCACGCTCCGACGTCGTCCACGGCCCTCGGATAGAAAAATAACAAACAACATAAGCATAACCTGCAGGCGCTCCGCGCGGATTTCTTGGATCCGTGCTGGACCCAGCGGCGCCTCCATTACCGCCCCTGGCGCGCTCCGCGCGCTGGGGCGGGCGCCAAAAGTTTACGTTTATGCCGCTTTTCCCTCGGCGATCAAAACAGTCCTGGGATTGAACAACAGCCTGCCAGTGGCAAAGCATATGTTTCGGTTTCTCAGACCCCTGACGTCGCGTGATTCCTTCACGACGTCGACCCCCAGAGGTCTGGACCCCTTCCCTGGGACCAGCTTCTCCTCCTGATCATCGCCTTTTGACACTCCCAGGGCCCCGAATGGGCCCCCCCAAGGGGCCGAAAATAAGGAAAAACCTCCCGTCGTGATTTTTCCTCCAAGGCGCAAGGAGGTCTGGGGGGGGGAGGAAGCGGCGGGGGAGGAGGAGGAGGAGGAGGAGGAGGAGGAGGAGGAGGAGGAGGAGGAGCAGGAGCAGCAGGAGGATGAGGAGGATGGATAAGGGGAAGGAGAGGAGAGGAGGATGATGAGGAGGAGGAGGAGGATGAGGTGGGAGGAGGAGGGAGGGAAGGAGAGGAGCAAGGAGGAGGAGTAGGCGTGGAGGAGGAGGAGGAGGATGAGGCGGAGGAGGGAGGAGTGAGTCGGGAGGGGATGAGAAGGAGGAGGAGGAAAAGGAGGAGGAGCTCACAGCGCGAGGGGGTCTGGGGAGCCCCCGCGGGCCGCCTCGAAGCCCGCGCGCGCGGTGCCCTCGGCCGGCGTGCAGGCGAAGGCCGCCAGCAGCTGGAAGGAGGCCCTTCCCGCCGGCAGGGCCACGGCCTCGCACCCGGGCGTGCGCTCGCAGGCCGCGGCGGCCTGGGTGAAGCAGGAGCTGTCGCCCTCCTCGCAGAGGAGGAGGTCTGGGGGAGGAGGAGGAGGAGGAGGAGGTAGGAGGAGGAGGTGGCAGGGGGAGAGAAGGAAGAGGAGGAGGAGGCGGAGGAGGAG